TTTTTTCCTGGTTACCCTCCACAAATCACGTAACCCACATTTGGGATGGAGGAAGTTACAATTTGTAACTAATTTTTAGGCAATCAAGTAATTAAAGTTGGTTGATTAGGTATATACCAAATTATTTGTTGGAGGAAAGTAAATTTGAAAATACTTTATTTTCATATAGTATGCATAAAATTTTCCCATTTATAAATAAACTAAACATATGGAGGCTCGTTTTGAGAAGGCCTATACGTACGGACCAGCCCAGCTGCAGATTGGGCCGGGAAAGTGGATAATTACTATTCTTTTATTTCTTCGAAAAAAATTACAAAATACAATTATTAAATTGGTGTATAATATACTAATGATTAAGTTATCTCGGAATGATAAATATAATGATAAAAAATACAAAATACAATTATTAAATTATTTATGCATTTTAATAAGAACATAGAAATATATTGAAACAAACTGTATCTCTATTTCACAAGAAACCAGTGTTTTCCCACATTAATAAACATAAACACCATAAAGTATTTATTATTAATAAAATTGGTTTCTGTAATGGAAAATGAGGAACTTAGCAAATGCAGGAAAAATGTTTTTGCATCATTACTTTTACTTTTAGTAATTAAAATTTGGAATGATATGAAACCCACCAAGGGGAAGTATTTAAATTAACCTTAAATATGTTGACATTACCCATTTTTTCAAACTCATATTGTGCTAGAGTGACATTTTTTTTTTTGAAAAAAAAATAAATATCTAAATGGTTATCAAAAAAATAGCACCTTATAATATCACAAATGTAAATATGATATAATATTATGATAATATGTAGGCAAAATTACATTTTTAGTCCTGCTAGTTAACTTCGCAGCATTTTTAGTCTCAAGATTTTTAACTTTTTTGTCTTTTGACCATGTAATTTAGTCGTCGTAATTTCAGTCCCAAATGACTGAAAATGCAACAAAATTCAAAATTACAGGACTTAAATCGTAATAAAAAAAATCCATCCAAAATATTTTTTATTAGCAATTTAAGTTCTGCAATTTTAAATTTTGTTGCATTTTCAGTCCCAAAGTATTGAAATTGCATTGAATTTTAAAATAATTGGACGGAAATAGCAAAATGTTTAATATTTAAGACAAAAAACGCCACTGAATCAAACCAACATGACTAAAATTGCAATTTTGTCGAATAGGTGAGTTTTTGATGCAACGGTCTACTTCAATTCAAACATTCAAACACACACACACACACACACACTCTCTCTCTAGGCTCAAGTTCTACTGGTTCGACTTGTGTTACTGGTTTTACCGTTACTCTCCTTGACCAATAAGAGGCGTCCATTTATGCACCCGCACACAACAAGTTCATAAATGCCATTCAACTGCTTCAAAACTTAAACCCAGTTTCCTTCAAATCGGGAAAACGCATCTTCTTCTTCTTCTTCTTCTTCTTCTTCTTCTTCTTCTCTGTTCCAACTTCCAAGTATTCGGGTTTTTGTTGCAAGCTGAGCAAATATGAAGAACTGGGACACAAATTCAGGGTCAGATGTAATTTATTTCTTTTCTTTTGTATGATTTTCTCGAGCGAACCATCTTCATCTTATTATTCTTCGTGGCTCTTCGCTGCTTTGTTCTTTCGATATCGGATTCGTATATTGTTCGTTATTTATTGTCGAATACATGGTTGGAGAATAAGTTTGATATGGGGTTTATAGATCTGTAATCAAAAGTACAGAGTTCTGCAAAATCTTGTATTTCAAGAAAAAAAAACAGGGTTTTTGAATTTTCTGCAGAAACTCTAATTTATCTTCCCTGTAAATAAAGTTCCAATCTTGGCACTGTGATCTGATTTCCTCATTGTGATTTTGCAGATTTGAGTAATCTCTTTACGATGTTTCGAATTCATTCGGTTGATTCTAATTGGAGAAGAATGCCAAGATTAAGGTATTCTTGTGCCCAAAAATTTCATTCAGTTGATTCTAGTTTTTCTGTTTTTTTTTAGTAGCTCTGTACAAGGATGTAAAATAGATCACATTATATTCATAGGTTAGCATGTTTTTTCGGTATCATATTCGTCCTCCCCGTTACATGGCCTCATTGGTTACCATTGATTTAATAGTTTTTCTGTTTGTTTGAACAGAGCCACAGACATTCCTCAACGATCATCTCCTCGGGGAAGCCTCAGGACATCGAGCTCAGATTCCGATTCATTAAATCACCACACTAGTCCAAGAACTGATAAAAGTTTGAAACTATCCAATGGTCCATCCTCAAAGACCTCACAACTGAATACTGTCAACAAAAAGAAACTCGGTAGCCGAATAGCCGATTTGGAATCTCAACTCGGGCAGGCGCAGGACGAGCTCAAATGTCTCAAAAACAAACTGGTCCCAATCGAGCCCACCAAAAAATCAGCCCAGGAGCAGCTCGATCAGAAACAGCCGAAAAAATCTCCTGAGAAGACTACACCTCCTCCCATGGATGTTTATGAAGTTCCTGTTCAGAATGTAGCTGTGGAACTTGAAATGGAGCCTCCTGGCCAAGAAAAAGAAGAACTTAAAACAAAGCCCATGAATCTGTTGCCCAAAGAGCTGGCATCGGAGGACGATGATGAGCTGAACAAGCTGAAGGCCAAGTTGGACGAGAGGGACAAAGAACTCGAAATCCTCCGTGAAGAAAACGAGAATATGAAAACACGGCTTCTTGAGAAGTCTCTCATGATAACGTGGGCCGAGTCCGAAATCGGGGAACTGAATCTGAGGGTTAGTAAATTTGAGCAAGAGTTGGAAGACAGTAAAACCGGAGCTGCTCGTATGGCCGAGAAACTGGAAGATGCAGAGAAAAGTAAAGAGGAGCTCGAAAACGAGATGAAGATGGTGCTCGTGCAGAGCGAACAGTGGAGGAAAGCGGCTGATGAAGCCGCTAATATTCTGGCGGGCGAGAGTTTGGAGACAGGTGGCAGAAGAATGATGGTATCCAATAGGTGTGGGTCCATGAACAAGCAACACTACGGAAAAGCCAGTTTTTTTTGGTCACCGGGGTTTGTTGATGAGGCTGACGAGGGTTTTGGAGGTGGGAAGAAGAAAGGCTCATCGGGTATTAGGATGTTTGTGGGTGATCTGTGGAAAAAGAAGGGACAAAAATAGTGTTTAAATTCTTAGGTTTTTTTAAGGTGGTAAAAATGGCTTCTCACCATTTTAGGCTGTTTTGTTTCTCACTGGTATTTGTAATGTGATTTCTCATGCGGTCTGTTGTTGTTTGTATTGTAGTACAGCTTTTGGATATCATGCCTTCTTTTAACTTATAATGTTAGAAGTTGTTTTGCCTGAGGTTTCGTCTCGTCGCGTGTTTTCTCAAGATGGTGAGCCTAAGTCTAACTGGGGTTAACTGAAAAACATAAACTGTTTTCTGGTATCTTGAAAATCAATTGAGTTGAGTAGTGATTAAGAAAGCTCGATGATATATGAATTTGTATCTGAACTTGGAGGAAATTATACAATGATACACACAAAATATAGCCAAGAATTTGGGAGAGAAATAAAAGAGTCGATATGAAACTCAACCTCGTGCCGCTTGTTTCGTCTCGTAGAACAGAGTTGCTAATCTTAGACGAATGCTGAGCACGGAGCAAAATGGCTTTCATAAATATGCATCTACATATCGTGGCCGTGTAATTGCTTATTGATATGGGGTACCATACTAGCATGAACTAACATTAACCCGAGCGGTTCAAAAAAATCGGTAGGTCTACAACATATCGGACAACAAGAAGACCCAAGGTCAATTGTAGTTTTAGGTCGGTGATTACCTAAAAAGTGTTGGAAAAATCAGTTATAAAATTTGGGTTTGACCTAATTTTGAATGATTTTTTATGGTTAAATATTTAATTCATACTAAATTAAACATTAAATACTCATGATATATTTATTTTCTCAAAGTTGGTTTTCGGTGGGTTAGAAATAAATAATTAAAGTTAGCCATAAATAAAACGTAAAATAATAGTTATGGGATTCGAAAAGTCAAAAGTCATTCCCACACTAGACTCCTAAATGAGATTTTTTTTTTTTTTTTTTGTCAAAGGACTCTTAAATGAGATTAACTTGTTTATTATAATAAAGAAAGTTTGAGAGGTTACAACAACAACAAAGCTATGCACCAAGTTGGTGTTGACTTCGGCCACACGCGTGCTCCCGCCCGCTAGCCGGCCGACCGACTTGGCTAGGCATGGGCCTGGGCCTGGGGCCTTGGCAATTGGTCCTTGGTACTTGGCAATAGGACTGCGGGCGGTCCTTGGTCGGTCATGGGCTTGGTGTTGGACTTGGGCCTTGGACCAGCCCCTATAATCATTTTACTGCAAATTTATTTACAATTTTGAAGCACAAGACAAAATCCAAACACAAGTTGGGTTTGGACTCGGATTTTGACCTAACCTAGGAGTGGAATTGTTATTATTTTGAGCGACAATTCCATTCACGAGAACTTGAGGGATCTGTAGGCCAATCTTCTTACTGAATCTTCAGAGTAAGACAACCAAGTCAACATAGAACGAAACGAGCAGCAGGGCGAGAACCAACCCCCTCGTTACCTTCTCTGTGATTTGTCTCAACTAGTGATTGGGCCATTGACATCACGCATTCGGTTAGGACCAGTGGATGTGAACACGAGCTTAAGATAATCCACTACAATCAGCTCCCGGTTTTCCATGGTATCCCAAATGAGAACCCGCTTCATTTTATCCAGGAATTCTACAATGTCCTTCAGGCGTTCCCACTTCATGGACTGAATGAGAATCATTTTGAAAATGCGGTGGTTCCCAGAGACTCTCAAGGACTAGGCCAAGACGTGGTTTATGACTCTCCCTCCTGACTCTCTTATCACATGGGAGTAAGTGTACTCAAAGTTTATCTAGAGGTACTACTTCGATCAGAAGATGCAAGAGCTCCCGTCCAGGTATATTAAGCCTGGACGTGTGGCCTTTCACATGTCCACCTGATCGTTTCGATTGTTATCAGGTGGAATGAAGATGAATTAAACAACTGAGAGACTACACAGTTACAACAACCATAAATGGGATGTTACAAGCTGAATAGTCCTCTTCTACATTGTTGGAAGTCCTTTATATAGAAACAATGAAGAATCTGCACAAGGCACAAGAATATCATCTGCATTTGGACTCTCCAAAAAAAGCCTCACGCATCATAACATGTAGTGCTCTATTTTCACCTTCGTTTGAATTTGTTGGAGCTCAGAAATCTGAAGTGCTACAGATTTTGAGACGTAACCGTTGTATCTTTGAGGAAGAGATGCCTGAACCAGTCAGCACATTACGGGGCTAATTCTTCTTGCTGAAGGAGCAACCCTCGCGTCGGATGATTCTCTTCCCGCATCTACAATTTGTGTTTTGTTATTTTATGCTTTTTAGTTTAAGTTGTGCAAACTGAAAATCAAGTATTGAGTTTATAGGTTTACTATTGTAATCAAAACAAATATTTGTAACAATCGCAAGATGAATTTTGGACCTACTAAACTGATGGAATCCACCGAAGAAGGTTCGCAAACTCAGTAGACCCAACAACAGCAACAACATCCGATCAACACTGTTTTCCTCATCATCATTCTGTACATGTTGTCCACGTCCATACTGTTTAAAAGCCTGAGAAATTCAACGGGCTTGACTTCAAGAGGTGGTAATAGAAGATGTACTTTTACTAAACCACCTTGGGTTTGACGAAGTACTTGAAGAACGCTCCTCCGATTGTAGCTGAAATGAAACCAATGCTCAGTATATGATCCCACTTGCAATAATCTTGGCCTTTTTGAGGTCTTCAAATCTGGCAGAAATCAATTCCATGAAATGATTCCATTCAATGTCCCTATTTTTCAATAAAAATTTGATACCTCGGCGACTTTTCATTCAAAATGCATAGATGCCAACATAACTCTCTAGTAGTTTGGAATGTTTGTGACCAATTTAAAGTTGTTGTTGCATTTGAGTATCCATGACCTAGGTTGACTTCCATCAAACCTTGGAAAATCTAATTTGCGTAAAGGGTTGATTATCAATGGTGTAGGTTGTTCAAACTGAAACCCCTATTTTGACAATTGCTTAAATTTGGATATGCTACCATCAGTATGATGAGTAAATGGTCCTTACCCTAGTATAGACTCCTGATTTTTCTTGTCTAGGTTGAGCAATTGCAATTGAACAGCTGCTAGGGTGTTCGTGAGGTGTTCATACTTACTATTCATGTTATGAAAGAAAC